TGCAAACCGACTGCCACACCTACCGAATTTTTTTAAGTTGGAAGATTGTTCCTACTTGCTAAAATGTTTCAACCTGAAAAGTAGAGCTGGAAAAATAATAACAAAGTGTTTAGAACAAGTAACTTAAATGTGTTTCCTAAAGCAGTAAACATTATGTTATATCAGAAACTAGTTAAAAATTTGGCTTTCATAATGAAAGAATACTAAGGCTTCAAAGTGAAAATATTATAATGGAAAAAGACAAAACATGATTCTTTAATGGAGAGCTTAATATTCCCCCTCTGAAAAAATAAAACACAATCATATGCCCTCTAAAGTTTTTCCTACTCTTAACCATTCTCTGTCCACTTCATTTTTCATCTTTTCTTTTTCTAGGAGGGGAAGGCTGAACTTAGTAAGATATAATAGACAAAAAACGGTAAAAGCAACAAGGAAGAAAGAATAAAACTACAGTTTAGTTTTTCTCCTCACACTAAATCCTAAACACATCATTATCATAAAATTCAAATTTTTGAGGGTAAGAAAAAACTAAATTTTCTGGAGTGGCAACCTAATTTAAAGCAAACGGACGTGTTTGTGAATGTAAATTAAGTCTGCATGCTGAACTCTTTGAACACCCTTGACTATAATACAGTACCAAGCTGCAGTTAAATACACTGACATGAACTTTGGTCAAGGGAGAACATAAAGTTTTAGCAGCTTTCTAGCCTAAGAAGTGAGATCAGCTAAAGGACTTTAAACTCTAGAGTTTCATTCACTAAATATAGAAAACATCAAAGTTTTCATGTGGCACCACATGGTCCAAGGAGACAACTCTGTGGGGAAAGAACAGCTGGTAATAACCTAAGAGTAAAGATGTAATTTCAAAGCTGAGTGCTGATGACATACACCTTATAATTCAGTAACTAGGAGGATGAGGCAGAAAGATTGAGAGTTCAAGGCCAGCCTGGACTACAAGTGAGATTATCTCAAAAATATCAAAACAAAAAGATATAATTTCATGGTATTATACATGATATTCTACAGTTCTATGGAAAAAAACAATGAGAATTTGGAAAGAACCTAATTTACCTATTTGAAATCAAAATAATCCTGTTAAATAGCCCATCATTGCAAGAGTTTTTGTGATCCCAGTGACAAGTATAAATGAAAGTTATAGATTGAACTGCTACTTCAACTCAGGGTACAGCTTCCCTAAAACAGAAACAGAAATGTTTCTTCCCTGTTATATAACATTTGACTGATTTTTTTTGGCAAGCACTCTCATATAACTAAAACATATTATCAATGCTGGGACAATCCTATGATCTTCCTTGTCTATATTTTTCTAAAAAAGCTTTCCTCCTTAATTTTCCTGAATCATCCTCTTACTTTGAAAAAAAATAAAATAAAATAAAAATAAAAGACAAAAGCTGGATCCTAGGATATATACACATTAGGCAGATTTTCAACCCAAAACTTAGCCTTAATCTTCTGAAAGCAAATGTTCCTTGTAACTCCCTCTTCTGTGGCTGACACTTTTCTTAAACCACAGGCCTTCCTGACTTGCAGTAGGCCCAGGCCAGATTACAGCTATGTGGTAGGTTCTGTCAGGCAACCTTTGACAAGGCCTCAAAAATAGATCCTGGGCACCAGCCAGGGAAACTGCCACTCACAAGGTTTCAACTTCATATACTTTTGACTAGCAGTACTAATTTTATTTTCCTCCAGTCTCTCTTATTTCAAAAAGGACAAAGGGTCCTGTACCTCCTCCTGGCCATAAACAATCCATATTACATTGAAATGAATAATTGACACCTTACTCTGCTCAAAAACACTGCAGAATAAAGGCCGAATCTGTACCTCCTTCCTGCTTTGAGAAATTAATCCATCAGTATCACTCTGGATTGCAAAAGAACTTCTGGATCTCAAGGTCCACACAGGCTTGTTTTATTATGAATAGACTAGGATATAGTAAATAAAGGAAGAGAAGGTAGGCTATTTTTTTCTCTTATAACAATATTAGCAGACTTCAGCAGGACAAAATGTTCAACTATTTCAATGTTTTTCTTGTTTTGTTTTTGGTTTTTGGTTTTTCTGTGGTACCGGGAATCGAACTCACAACCTTGAGCTTATTTCAATGTTTTTAAATGACATAGAACATAAAATTCTGAAACAACCTTTTACAAGATACACCCACTTAACTATTATCAAATATAAATGGTCTTATCTTCAAACTACACAGTTCTTTTACTAGTACAAGTTAAATCAACCATCTGATACTCTAAATGACCTAAACTGCCTTACAAAATACATTTACAGTATTTTTTTAAATGGAAAAATGGGTAAAGAATACAAACCAAATGGACCAGACTTGGTGACACACACCTATAATCCTAGCATTCTGGGAGGCTAAAGCAGAAACATTACAAATTCAACTCCAACCTGGGCATTTTAGCAATTCAGAGAGACTATCTCAAAAATTTTAAAAAAGGGCTAGGGATGTCACTCAGTGTAAAGGCCCTGGGTTCAATCCCCAGAACCATCACACACAGACACACACACATACACACACACACACATACACAACTAAGAAATCCTTTCTAGCTGGATGTGGTGGCACACACCTGTAATCCCATCGTTTGAGAGGCTGAGGCAGGAGAACTGCCATGAATCCAAGACCAGCCTAGGCTACACAGTGAATTCAAAGGCAGGCTGAACTACATAGCAAGACCCTGTCCCAAAAAAAGAAATCATTTCTTCTATATGCCTGAGAAAGAAGTTAATTTTTATTATAAAGTAAAGCCCAACATATAATTGAAATAAATTTTCACAATTTAAGTCCCAAAACCTCATAGTCACACACTAGAAAATATACTTCCTATACATAAACTAATGCAAAGACATGTTTCACAAATTATTCACTATAGAAGTGTTTGTGGAAGGTTAAAAACTATCTAAATGTCTGTTAATAAGGAATGGTAAATTATGGGAAAATGAACACAGTATGTTCATTTACACCAGGCAGGATATCCAGTCTTATAAAAAATGAGATAGACATATGTACTAATACAGAAATATCTCTAAGACTTAGCAAGAGTAAGTTTGAAAGCTACATGATATTTCTCCTAAATATATGAGATTACATATGTAAAAGAAAATTTAGACAGGAACAAATAAGAAACCATTAACAGTGGTGACTTAGATTAGTGTGAGGTAACGAGGAGCTGGGAGTTTATGACGGAAAGTAGGTTTATGGTTTTTGTCATATTAACATTTTCTTTTTAAATATTTTATTAATTTTTAAAAGTCCCACAAATGTCTATTGAACCCATGAAGTCAGTATTCTCCATATATATACACACAAACATATTTATATATGTCTCCATATGTATATATATGTTTGTGTGTGTGTGTATATATGTATATATATACATACATACATATATATATATATATATATATATGCCTTGTCTTTCCTCTACCTCTATTTCTACCTACTGTTTTTCCTATCATTAAACTAAAACAAAACATTCATATGTAGTAAGTCTCAGAGTCTCCCTAAGAAATAGAACTCTTGGGGCCAGGGATACAGCTCAGCAGCACAACACCTGCCTGGCAAGCTCAAGGTCCTGAGTTCAATTTCCAGTACCAAAAAAAAAAGAAACAGAACTCTCCCTTGGCCCTCCTACCATTACCATCACCACCAAAATAAGTACTAAAACACATAAAAAAGTATAACGTATGTCAAACCCAGATTTTAGCTTAGTGTTTGATTCTTTTTAAATCTAGCTTAATGTATTATAGGCTAAAAAGCTTTAATAGTAAAAATACAAAGTGTAACACCGAAAAAATCATTTCCAAAATGTCCACTCTATTATCGTAGAAGAGAAAATGAAGACTAAGATATTTTACTCACAGGGTAAATTTTGCTCAATTCCTTCTTTCTAAAGTTGTAAAAAGATGGATGTTTATAGTGGTGTGGAGTCTAGTCCTTATCTGCAAACTGGTTAGGTAGTTCATTTTCCTACTTAAGGAATCACCTCTGTTCAGATTCTCGCAAGCAACTATCTAAATGGAAAAGGCTTTTATTAATTGGCCTCTATTTTATAGGCTCAACGGATAGAACATCCAGAGAAAGACAGAAAAATTTTACTTTCTTTTAAATGATCCTCTTCAACATTCCTAGAGCATTGCAAAAACAGTATTTTCTTTCCTATACCTTATCAACTCTTGCTTTTCTACTAGCAACAGGGTAAACAATTCACAGAGCTATGCAAGAAATCACTCCCTCTCTCTTGCTAAATTCACTTCTAGTAAGGATTTCTTTTTCATTTTGAAAAACAGATTATTTTGCCAAATATATTTTACATTCATTACAGAGATCCTTAATCCTGACCTAAGGTTTCCCTTACCTATTAATCTACCGAGATTCAACTATAGTGGTTTTTACAAGGAATTTTCCAAACAGGAATCTTTGTTCATAGTGAACTGAAACTCTGAAGTCATTATCAGCAGAACAAAAATCTAAAACAACATTAGGGAATACTCTAATGTAAGAATAGATATCCAAAGAAAGATGTCAAAATTTAGTTGAAGAATTAAAGGAATTTCATAAGCAAAACTAACACCATAACTTGCCATCACTTTACAATTAACTGAAGTTCTTTATAAATGACAATCAAGGTAAAATGCACTGAATTCCAAAAAGAATGAAAAGAAAAACAAGGGTAAGAGGACCAAGATCACCATGATTCAATGTTGTTTTGTTTAACAATAGTTTGAAAGCCAAAAAAATGGTCAAATTACATTACAGCAATAAAAAGTTATTTCTAGTTTAAAACGAATCCATTCCAAAAATAAACCACAACTTCAATACACACTTTCTTCAATAACGGCACTTACTAAAGTCAATTATTCTACATTTTTAAAGACAGAATGGCAAAATGAGTGAAGCTTTCCACTCAAAAGACTTCAGGTATTTTCCATAGTGTAAATTCTTTCAGTGAACTTTTTCATACCTTAGTGATGGTAGTTCTCCTTTCCCCTGACATTAATTTTGCTTCTAGACCCCTTCCTTTATCTTCCCACATCTGGTTAAAAAAAGAAAAAGTGTACAATCAGAACAATCCCCTTAGTAACTAAAAAACTACCCTAACTAAATCCAAGCATTCTTGCAAAATTTCAATTTTTTCCCTTTTTATACTTCATGACAACCATCCAGCAACAAAACTAACAGAACACTGTACACTTCCTACAAAATGAGTAAAAGCATTTAATTAGACAGGCAGAAATAAAACTTTCAGCTTTCCTCTATTTCAATTTTAAGATCCATATCAATGATTCACAAATTGAATGACCTAACTTCCTGAATGAATCATACTTTCTAAAATTCTTATTCTATATGAGTATATTATAATCCTGGGTCATCATCTGTATTTGCTAAACAAAGCATGGTGTTGGTTAATTCTACAAGGCTTTCAAGCCGCCACAAATTTGGAATCCCTGCCAACTAATTCTACCTGTAACACTTTGCATTCTCCAACAAACGAAACTTTTCATGGATTTATCCCCAAAATAAAATGTTACTTCTGGGGAAAAAAATGTTATTTTAAACACTAATTACGAACGTATCCATACCTTCCTTTCCATCTCCCCGTCTCATTACTGTATCCACATTGTCTCCCTATTGCGGCAACGTAAAAAATTAGTATCTATTTTGTTATCTTTAGATACCTCGTTTAGTCAATATACTCTAAGGTCTTTCTGTTTAAGACAAAAACGCTGAGTCATTAAATAAAAACTCGGAAGGAAAAGTGCTACAAAAACTTTAGAAACAGTATTCCCCTAGCTATGTCTCAGCAGTTTTATATTTGCATTTCCCACCGTGGGAAAAATAAGAGCAAACACTCAAACTTTTCTCTCTCCAAGAAAGAAAAAAGAAGTAGGCTTTTTTCCTCGGAGCTCCGTTTCCCGCAGGCTACCCACAGCCCGGAGCAGCCAGGCCCGACCGAAGCTACGTAACCCCACAATCTGGGTGTGAAGGATGCCCCACATTAGTCAAGCATTAACCCTGAGCCTCCTGCCAAACGCCTGCCAAACTGCGCTTCGGTACGGGTCAAGGAGGAACGAGAGAAAACCCTGTAAAACGCTGCGCCCTCCCGCGGCCCGACGCCGCACCCGGGGCACTGCTACCCGGACAGCAGCCGAGGCAGCCGGGCGGGAGGCAGAGAAGGCGCCTCCGGCCCCGGGCGCGGAGGGACAGCGGCCCCAGGCGCCTCTCCCACAATGGGAGCAGGCGCTGCCCCCGCGCGGAGGGAGGCGCCGCGAGCCTTGCCCGCTAC